TTATTAATATATGGATAACAAGGCTCAGCTATAGATACCATACAATTTTCCTCTGATTTTGTGTTAATTTTTTTCTGGATTGTTTTTGACGTTCATATCAGCTTCCTTTCTACGGGGTAATCAGTGCCAATTTTCTTTATCTCGAATCTATATTATTATTATTATTATTATTATTATTAGGCTGATTAATGGTCTCAGGCAAGGAATCCCTCTTAAATATTTTATTTATTTTTTCTTGTTTAGGTACAAGCAAATATTGGCTTAAACTTTGGAGCGTCATACTCTCGAATATAATTCTTTTCATTCTCAAAATGAAAGGAGAAAATTGTGAACGTTAATCCCTTATGAAAATCTTACTATTCAAAATCGCTATTATAAATGTACAAGTGATTTGAAATTTCATTTTTTACTTTACTTTTCTGTCAATATTTTTTTTTCATAATTGTAATCTTCCCTTAAAGCAACACCCTTTCCGGTAAATCAATACCGAAATACAGTATTTTTCTATTTTAGAAAATATTTTATATATGGAACAGCCAAACATAGTATCTTCCTATTTTTAAATGCCGATTGGAAAACGTAACTTTTTTGGTTTCGATTTTTTCGCTTTCCTTAAAATTAATTTTCTTAATTGAATTAGAATTGCCTTCAAGGAGATTGTAACTTGGCTTATATTTTTACTCTAAAATATATGGCTTCAGATTCACTAGGAATCAGCAGCATGCAGATTTACATAACTGGAAACCAGCTGCCATTTACACCGAATTGGAATTGCCTTGGTTGCCTTATAAGGTTGTGGGTGGAGTCAGGCTTATTCTCAATAGGTAACAAATTAGAAAGTCTTAGTAAAAGTGGGTGGCGGAAAATCATTTAAAATATTAAAACGTGCGAGTTTAATAAGCTCGGAACGGGGTCGAAGAAATTCTTAAAAAATATACACCTCTTTACCAGGCACGAAAACAAATTTCTCTTTCGAACAGCTACGAAACTAGTTAAGTAATCATTTTACTTTGATGCACTTGGATCAATTAATTATTAACAGCTTCCCTTGTCTTTAATATGCCACCTTCTTCATTATATGTTAAAATTATTTCAAAATTGTTTCTTATTGGTTAACATCTATTTCCTTGTAGTGCCTGATCACGTTAATTTTCGTCTTTGTTATTCATGTACTCTCGGAATTACGTTCTTGGAATTTGCTTGGGGAACTAAATTACTCTCACTTTAAGTTTTCCCTTTATCAACATTCACAGTGATTAATTAAACGCTTGTTACGTATATACTATTCCTATTATGTCACATTTACATTAATTCCTAACCATTGACAAAATTGTCTCGCTAATATTTTATGATTTGTTATAATAATTTTAAGCAAAAATAGTAAATTTAGTTTTCGTCTTTTTTCAACCTCTCTTACACACGTGGCAAAAATAATTTGTCTGTTTTTACTATGTTTGAAACTTGCCTGTACCTGTGTACAATCATGTTATGTTTGAGTTCCGTAACAGACTTACAGACCTTGTCACAAAACTCGCACAAGTAACCTGCATGTCTTTCTGGTAGGTTTTCATCAATAGAATTTTGCACCTGACCTGACCTAATAAACCAGTTGCCGAAAGCGTAGCTTTTCCACAAATATATATTGAAATTCATTCCACAAATACATACATACATATATATACCAAGTGTAACAGTAAAATTTTCCAAATAGTGTAAAAGCAAAATTGTCCATTTGTTACATTAAGGTTTGGAGCTTTATATCCTAGATATGTTTAAAGAAATGTTACCGGAATTATTCAAGGTTTAATAACACTATTAGACTCTTCTTTGAGCAATAAGAATGTATAATTATTCTCAAAGCTTGTTACAAGATGAGATCTTGCCCTGCTTCGATAAACGGAAATTACCATCACGAGTCCCCGACTCGAAATGAAAACTGCACGTCTACGCATAGGCTCGACGCAGATACTTCCGTTTGGGATAAACTCAAAAAAAAAAAAAAAAATGAAAGAATTAAATCAACCAATCGGACCGTCTCCCGCGTAGTCAAAAAATTGCCATTTGGAGCCGATAGGCGTGTATAAGTTCAACACGGGAAAGTCAAAAGGAGTCCCATTCAACGGCGGAGGTGGAAGGGTCACGTCGCTCGCTCCTGACACACTGGCCCGGCGACGAAACGAAGCATGTGACTGCTGCTGCTAATGAACTCTCGTCCGACGCTTTGTCAAAGGGTACCTTTCCCCTTCCATAAGTCAAGTTAACTCCACGAACTTTACATGCCACTACCATAGACACTCAACTTCTTAAATACGAACCATTTACGTGTTCTTATTTTCCTCACTAAAAAGTCTATAAAATATATCTACAGTCTTTCTTGTTTTTTCGATTCTGAATTTCATTGTTTGCAACCAAACGCAGTATTTCGCCCACATTGTTTTCACATCGCCCACGTAACTATATACGGAATATAACAAGCTTAACAGGATTCGTGATGAAATCGATCATAAACGAAAATGACCTGTTCGTTATTAATGAATCCTAGCTAAGGATCGAAAGCTCATGAAGGATTGAAATAAAGTTCAAATACGTATATATTATTCCGAATTCATTTTCCAACTTATTCAAGATGATCTTTGCCCTCTCTAACCTTCTACTCATATATTTCACGTACAATTTGTGATACTGAGGGGAATTTTAAAAGTATTCTAGTATAACTTGTAAAATACCAAAATGAACAGCAAATACAACTTCAAGAAAGACAAAATAAACAGCAATTACTATTCCAAGAAAGAATGGAAAAAATATTACTTTAAACGCAGAAGGAAAATCATGAAAGACAAATGCAAAATGAAGAAAGACAAATACAACTCCAGGAGCTAATTGTAAAAGTAGCGAGTAATACACAACAACAAAATATTGAAAAAGAGGCGACTTTTTCCCAAAACGCAGTATGGAAAACGATAGAAACATTCAAATACTCCCTAGAAGAGGATAAAAATTTCTTTGACTTTTTCAGACGTCATGAAGACATCTTCAACATCGATTTTCAAAACTGTACGGAAGCAAAGAAATTACGACTATTATTCAGGAAATTAGGAACGGATGATTACACAAAATTTGTGGATTACATTTTGCCAAAGAAGACAAATGATTTAACATTTGATGAAGCAGTTACATGCCTGACGGAGCTTTTCAGCCCGAATACGTCACTTTTTCCCAAAAGGTGGAAATGTCTTAACCTCGTAAAGGATGAAAATGAGGACTATTCCACGTTCGCAGTAATCGTAAATAAACTTTGCGACAACTTCAAATTGGCAGAATTAACCCCGGACAATTTCAAGTGTTTTATTTTTGTACAATGGTTAGTTTCAGCAAAGGATAGCGAAATGCGCAAAATAATGCGTTCAAAACTGCAAAATGAACCTGGATTAACACTACAAAAATTATCGGAAGACTGCCAAAAATGTCTGAGTGTAAAGAAAGACTAGAAGGATATTGAGGAGTCAGGAGTATCACATATACGTAAGTTAAACAAAAGTTTACATTTTTCACCCTCCCCGGAAAGAAAACAAAAATTCTATAATAATGAAAAAAGTACAACGTTCAGAGCAAATAATGACGAAAATCAAAGCAAATATAAGCACCCCCACTCCCATCTGCATGTTATCGATGTGGAGGACTACACTGGCATACGGATTGTCGTTTTAAATATAAAAACTGTCTTGCGTGTGGAAAAATGGGTCACAAGGCATCCCAATGTAGGAACAGAAAATCTACTAGTAGGATAAGAGCTACTAGAATGCATGGCGAAGAGAATACTAACATAAGGAAATATGTGGAACTTGAAATCTTAAATAAAAAGATAAAATTGCAACTAGATTCAGGGTCAGATCTGACGATAATTAACCTACAAACATGGAGAAAGCTTAACAGACCAATCATGTTACATACACAGGAAATTTCTAAGTCTGTTACAGGAAAGCGTATAAAATTCGAAGGAGAAGTAATCCTAAATGTAAAATTTCACGGGAAAACAAGAAAACTCAAAATATTCGTAATGAAGGATACAGAAAATCTGGTGGGCACAGACTGGATGCAGAAGTTCGACGTATGGGATTTACCTATCAGCTCTTTCTGTCAAAAGATAGAGTGCGAACTATCAGAAGCGACAAAGTTAAAAGAAGAATTACATAATCAATTTCCGGAGGTATTTTCGAGCGGGTTGGAACGATGCAACAAGTTTTCAGCCAGAATTGAATTAAAAGAAAATGTCCAACCAGCATTTAAAAAGAAGCGGGACGTGCCGTTTGCTACCATAGAGAAAGTCGACAAAGAATTAAAGAGAGCTTTGAAAAAAAAATAACAGTCTAGGAAACGTGATGTACACAATACAAGGAGAAAAATTTACCCACAGAAGACATATTGACCAAATACAAAAAAGACGTGTTGAAGAGCTAAGCTCGTCACCCGCTGAAAATGATGATTCGATGGAGGCGATCTTTGAAGCTTTTGAGATTCAAAGACCACAAGAAGAGACAGAAATTAGGAGAACTAGCAGGAAAAGAAAATTTACAGAGCCTCAGATTATCGATCATAAAAGGAAAAGATATGAACTCCCCCAAAAAGGGATCTAAGGAGGGGGTGTTGAGGGGTCCTCCCCTTTTTACACAAATGGACTCACGCAGTATATACACATACTACTGCTACGTGAAGACCCGATAGCTGAAGAGGAGGAGTTGTAGGTAACCAGAAGAACGAGAGCAACAGAGGGTAAAGGTAACAGACAGACAGACAGACAGAACGAACGAAGCGCGCAAGAGTCACAGTGAGCGAGCACGTAGAATCAGTATGAAGACATACACCGATACTTCACTACCCAAGACAGGGTATTTTGCTACTAACCCGTATTCCTGGAACTACTAACCTGCAATTACCAGTTTGTATTATTACGTTAATACATTATTTTCCTATATTCATTCTTGGCGTTTGTTAATTATTAGTACCGGATTTCATCCCGGAATCCACAACACTATCTATCTATCTATCTATCTATCTATCTATCTATCTATCTATCTATCTGCATGCGCACATTAAATATCTACTCTCTCACTTGCTATCTCGTCCCCTCATCCATGCATAGGAATACAAATATACCTTCTGTTTTGTTTTCTGTTTACTTTTCCCTACAGTGAATGTTTCTTTAAAGCAATTAGCCTTTGAATAAAATATCCAAACATAGAATATCACGTTATAATTTTTATTTTTCTAAATATGTTTTATTTTGTTCATAAAATATTATTTTAACTTACAGATGACAGAGACCAATGTTTATGGAAGACGCTGAAAATCAGAGACAACATACAATCTAATTCAACATATAATTTATCAGAATTGACTGCAAATAAACCGAAAAAAAATCAACTTTTAAAACTTGCAAATTCAATCAGTACAAATTGATAGCCTATGAAATACCGAAAAATAACTTGAAGCAAGAATTAGATTTGCCATAATTCAGTTTAGCGTCTTAAAGAAACACAAAAGACAAAGGTGAAACAAGAATTGTCGGATCAAAGAAGTAAGTAATATGAAGGAGTTTTCGGTTTTGGTTTACCGAATCTTTGTTCTATGCTTTATTTAGAATCATCGATTTTTAAAGTTCGTGTTGAATGTTTAGTTCGCTTCTTCAAAAGAGATATAATTTGATTAAGCTTACTATTGTTTTATATTAAATTAAATTAATAAATCGAGAATTTCAAGTAATTTAAAACAGTTTTTCTACATCTTAATAAGAACATTGAAGGAAAAGGGTAGTTTGAATTCCGCTCATTGATTTTTAAAGCTGTGTCCGGTACACTGAAGTTGGGTTTGCCCTAAAGACCAAAAATATCAGTTATTGATTGTGGGTGATAAAAGACGTTTCCTTACAGGAAATATACGTCATTCATTGAACGAGCCGTTAGCGTCACTGTCGTTTGAAATCTGTAAAATCTTACTCTAAAAGTATTTAAGGAAACCAGGCTTATCGTGTCCACTAACTATTATCGCTCTTTCCAGTGCTAATATCGGATTATTTTCTCCTAATTTCCGAAACTGATCCTAGGGGACGCTCTCCTACACTATAAATACTCAGCGATATCTTTTCTCGATCTCTTTTTACTTTTCCGATTATACGACAAGATTACGTTTTTCCCTTCGTCAGAAACGCATGAACAATACATACACACACACACGTACGTACGCACATTCACTCACTTCACATACTTCGGACCAAAAACTTTCCACAGTTTAAAGGAACTGCCACAGACAATCAGATAAAAACAATTAACATTTTTTAGATATGGAATGAAAGCAATACGCTTAGAGAAATTAATTCCAACATCGTATAATGAAGGCAAGAAATTTAGGGATTTAGCTGATGGTATATTGGAACGCAAACAAATATTGAATGGCATGAGTAAAAAATATTGTCAAATTTTTTGTCATTAAAGTAAATGTATTGACAAAATATGTTGAACGTTCACTAGGCAATAGACCGCCACCTGTTATTGTAGAATGTGAAAGAGCGTTGTCTTGAAAAGGACAACTATTGTAGTCGGTGAAGAGCGTTCTCCTGAAAAGGACAACTTTTCCAATCGGTGAAAAGCGTTATCCTGAAAAGGCTGGAACAGATACTATACTTTGAGCACGGATAGCCTTTTTTTGAGGCTTTGTTATGCAGAGTTAGCTACACAGCAGTGACCGTTCCTGTTAGGTGAAGTTTTTTTTTTCTTCCGGTTTATTTATCCTTTTAAATATATGAGTGCCGACAATATACGACAGGGTAAACTAATTGAAGTGTCCCTTTCCTGAAAGGACGTGTAACGTGATAGAAGAAGTAGATCCATCAATGAAACATTAATTTTCAATTTCGATATACAAGTGTATAAGAGAAGAGAAAATTCTTTCGTTCACCAAGTTAATGAAAGTAATTATTCACCCCCGGCCTATTCTGGGCATTGTCTTTTGTGTTTATCCTTCTCATGATACCCTTCCTTGCGAGTTTATTATTGTCTCCATTTTTTATTTTGACTGTAATTTATTTTGTCCGTCCCTCGCCTCTAGTGAGCGAGCTGCTTGATTCTGCTTATCGGCAGAATACAGTGGTCACACGTATTTTTCTTTGGGGTGGACGAGTCTTAATAACATTTTATGTTAGTTCGAATGTTTTCTTGCACTTTATTTTCGTGATTGGTTGCATCCCTACCCCATCATTTCATATAATATATTTTTTGTAAAAAAGAGACCTCCACCCTAAAAATATGTACAGTTTTTACATTATCAAATTTTTTAACATGGCGCTTGTGTATTATCCCTGTGAATATACGGTATTGTGGTATATGTTGGACTGGATAGTGATGGATAAGTTCTTGCGGTGATTGAATCAGTTGTAAGAATGAATGGTATCAGATTAGCTAGGTTAAGTAGAGTCAGTGATGACCAGTCTCTCACTACTTCGCCCTTTGGCCTTTTCCACATGAAATTTTATAACATTTCAAAATAAAGAGTACAACAGCCGAAACTATTCCCCCGGCCCAGTGTATACTCGAGGTTACAGTGTGCTAAGCTGTTTTCTACTCGGGATATGTTAGGCTAGGCTAGATTGTGCATCGGGATACTAAATGGAATTGCCTAGAACTAGGCTAGAATATATACCTTCCTTTCCCCTTGTTATAAGAGGCATGTTATTCTATCAACACATGATAGTCAAAGATATTATAGATTTCTTGTTTGCATTCTTCAGTTATCAATTTTATTCTGATTCCTTAGAATGCTTAACTTCTTGATGACTATTGATTTTGGCAGATCGATATCTGATTACAGTTGAATGATTTCAGGCAAAGCCAGCTTACTGACAAATGGTTTCATATAAGCTATTATTACCAATTTTGTGGACTGGAGACGTCACTTAATCATCTATTTAAAAGGAGTTATTGATCTTATATATGCCGTGTCTCTTCTGGATGTAGATGAACACGGCTCTCCACAGTTTCTGATAAATTGTAGCTCTTAACAATGTACATTTCCTATCTCGACTTCTTGTTTTGTCATCTAAGCACAAGCTGGTTAGGTACGTTACTCACGGTATCCTTCTTCGCTTCTATATAGGCTTCGGGTGTCATATTTTCCAAACTTTCATCATTATGTGCACATAAAATTTCATCTGTCTCTTCTGATTCGTGTAGGTATTCATTTTGGTTTCCATTTCATTTAAAACATCCCCGTTGCTTACATGCCCCGTCTATCATATTCTCAGTATTCTTGTGTATAACCATCTCTCTTGTGCCAAAATTCTGCTTCATTTCTATAATAATAAAAATTCAAAGGTTTTTCAGTTTATTTTTGATGAAACAATGCTTCGATCTCTATCTGTTTCCAGCTGGTGTCGCGTACTACTTCTTCTGTCCTTAAGTCCAGAAGATGGATTAAAATAGTTATATTTGTAAAGGTAGCTTCTGGTTGAAAGGGAAAACAACTTAAACATTTGCCAAATATGGTCATTGTTTCGATGTTTGAATCTGGACATCTTTGGCGAGACCAAGCTGTGTTAATTGAAATGTATGAAAGAAACGAAGACATTATCAACAATTAATTGGACTGAATTTAGCCAACATTGTGTATTGTTTTCGAAACTCGAAAACGCTTTTTTCTGAGTTGAAATTTTAGAATGGTTTTAGTGCTAAAATTTAAATTTTCTTTTCACGCTCATATAATGGAAGTACGGATTATCGAGGTACGGATAATCGAGGAGGCACTGCATTATGATATGGTTGCGAATATGCAGCATTCATAAGCTGATAGGAGCTGAAAATTCGAAAAGTTGTCTTTTACATGGCATTAATCAAGCTGAAATTGCGACGTACCTGGAATATGACGATTGAGTAAATTACAAATACTTGAAACTCTACCATTTGAGCCCAGCGTGCCTGACAATTTTAAACCTTCTGCCTGAGCTCCTGAGTCAAAATTCGCAAATAACTGCTATGTTATATTTTACAGTAGATATAAAAATAGTTACAAATGTTTACCCAACGTTCAACCGGTAGCTGAGCAGTAAGTCATTTTTCTCTACCACCAGTAAAGCGGTGGTCAAGGCTCAAAGGGTTAAAACACTTTCCTTAGAAAAAAATAATTTTATCTGAAAATTATACTCGAAATGAACTAAGTATTGAATAGATTTTTGTCAGAGAGAAAAGTTTCTATAATTCTACCAACTGATTGTCCTATTGATATTCGTCTTCTTTTATACGACGGGACCATTTAGACCCATGGATCTCCACAACTGCCACATATTTCTAACCTTTTGCAGTCCCTCCTTATCACTGTTCTGCCAAGCGATTAGGTAGGTCATTCGCTGCTTTCTTCTGTCGCACTTGCCCGTAATGTTTTGAGGGTGACAAACTCTCCAAGACCTATTTACTCAATATGTGACCTAAAAATTTCATCTGTTTCTTCTATGTAGAAGTGTCATTTTTGTTTCCCATTGCCTTAAAACTTTCTCGTTACTCATATGTTCTGTCCATGTTATTCTCAGCATCCTTCTGTATAGTAACATTTCTGTTGCCACAGATCTTTTCTTCATCTGTGTAGAGATTGTTCAGCATTCCCTGTCATATAAGAGGACCGATATTACATAATGTTGTAACCTAGGGAATGTTACTGAATAGAATAATCACACGAAAGTTGATAATAAACGATAATACGTAAGACAAGAACAACACATATAAGATTCACCAGCGGCGCGTAGAAGTAGTAGTCATCTGCTAGAAGTGAGTCAAGTGAATTCCACAATGAATCTCGAACTGCAGGATATCTACCAACCGCCCCACGTGCTCAGATGTGGCGCAAGGCCGAATTTAATATGGGGTATCTGAGCCCGTAGACTCGGCCAAAAATTCCCCGTAGACACCGGATAAAACGGTGTCGCGTAGTTCTTTCCCGAGACGAAATTCTACCCTTCGACATAGCCTCGTTTCGGGATCCTCTCTGCCCAGAAGCAGAGAGTTTGACTATCACACCTGGAGACAAATCTCCAACTACTGACCAACATACAGTATTTACTGCTGTATTTATGTGAATGGAGACATACCCATTATCGTACGTAGGTATGCTACAACACATAACGAGTCAGTATTTTCCTTGTTTCTAACGTGGA